ATTGGAAACTCATCAGAAATCAAGTGTTTGATTGATTGTTCTACTTTCTTGGGACAATCATCAATACAGTTTAAGGCAAAAAGCCCAAATCAAAACAAAACAGAAAACCAAAAAACCCGGCCCGGTTGGCGGGGGTTGGGGAGTTAGGGTTTGGGGTAAGCAGAATATAAAGACAAATCAAGGGGAATTGGTATTGAGCAATCTTGTGAAAGACCTCCTCAGACTTCAGTGACACGTGCATTGTCTCTCGGGTAAGCCTGGGAGAAGCTGTCCAGGTAAGTGTGTCAGTGAATCTAAGGCTGATTTCTGAAACTTACAGAGGTGGGTAAGTTTAATATGTACCTGGGTTATATGTGTGTTCAGAAATGTCCGCAGAGATAACTGGCCTTTTAACTGGTTTCAAGCTATTTCTTTAGGGTTATGTTTATTTCTGTGTACTCTATTTATACATATCTTTAAATGAGGAGAGTCCATTAGAGTGCACAAGGTCAGGGCCAGTGACACAAATGCTGAGGCCTGAGCTGGATACAGGGGCATGGGGGTCAGCACTGCAGCCCGAGCTTGTAGAAAGAATGGGGGAGGCAGGTCTGGCTCTGATCATCTGGGAATATGGGGTAAAAGTTTCTAGCTGGGGTTGATGTTTCAGTCAGTTGGATTCCTAGAGGGGGCTTAGGTCTCTGGACCAGATTATTTTGCATCCCAGTACAGCATTTGGCACCTGGAAAGTTAGGTTTTTGTACAAGGTGACCATGACATAGTTAGTCTATCAGATTTTATTTCTAATGGAGCTACTTTAATCCACAAATAGGGTGTACTCAGCATTCATCAGGGGGCTCATATTTTAGAATAGTTCATCACAGTGCAGCATGCAGCACCTGGACAGTTAGTTCTCAGCCTAAGGTGAGCTTGTCAGTTTTTTTGATCAGAGGACAGTGGCTATTAGAGTACAGAACCTGTTTCTGCCAGATATTGTGGCGGAGTTTTTGTGCCTTTCTATCAGTCAGCTCGGGTATAATCAATCAGAAGTGCAAGAATAGGAAACAAGTTTTTGAACCTCTGTGATGTTGAGTCCAGGTCAATTAACTGGGGTCTATATGAAGTGGGACCGGCAGACAGGAGCCAAATGAAGGCAGAAGAAGGCATTTTTAGGTCCAGACAGGTATCCCAGGGGTGTGGGGTGGCAGGAGACTGAGGCAACATAGAGAGGGCAATCATGGTGGCACTGGCAGCCTGGAGCTCTTGAGTTGGCTTTACAGGCTGGAGAGGCATGTGGGGGACTCATTGGTCTCTTGCTGAGCCTGGGGGAGAAACTGCAGCAGGAAGGAGAAAAAGACAACAGACAAGAGCTGGGTCAGGTAGAGGTCTGTTTGCCTGATGGGCAAAGGACCCAAATAACAACAGTAGGGGCCTTTATACTCTTGCAAAGTTAGTATCATGAGACACAGATTGCCTAGTGTTTAATCACTGAAATTGTCCAAACAGGTAGTTTGCCTGCTTTAGGCACCGTGACCTTGTCCTGAACTCATGTATACAATGACTTTCTAGCTTTAGCTGCTTCCAGCAAAGGTGTACTGTTTGATGAGGTGGAGGTTGCCTTGGGACAGAGCTTGATAACCAAATGGATGTGATTGATAGGAAGCCCCAGGAGGAGTCCTTTGTCTCTACTTTTGGAAGAGTCCCAAAATTTCAGGGTTAGGATTATCAAGCATTTCAGGCCAATGTAGGCCCCATTGCTCATCCCAGAGAACAGTCAGGGCAATAACAGGTCAGGGACAGTGGACCCAAGTGTGAGGGAGGCTGGTCACATCCCTGGAGAGGTATCGGGCACTCTAGCATGTTTGATAAAGCGTGCATCAGTCTCACAGGATCTGCTCTGGCAGAATTTCTTTTCAATGGGGCTCCACTTGGTACCTTCGGTAAATTCACACATGTTTATTGACTTCTTGCCTCCCTCTTTGAGGCCTTCCAGGAGAGCACTGTGGTACTGATTTAAGGCTTCCTGGCCTTCCATTGCATTATAGTCTCAATTTGGAGGTGCCCATGGGAGGACTGTGTTCACCCAAGTGTCAGGATCAACCACAGCGGTGGGGACTTTTGACTATAAGAGGTTTGGGCCCCATTTAAAATACAGCGGTGTTCTTCAGTGTTAAATAGAGTCAGAAGGAGCTGCTGACAGTAGAGCAGAAGGCTGTAGTGAAGGAAACAGAACTGGCAGTGGTGGCACTGAGGCTGAATGAGCAGCTTGGGGTTGATGAAAGCAGGGAGGAGGCAGGTCCAACTCAGGGTCCTTGGACAGATCAGGGTAAAGTTTTTCTGGCTTGGGCTGAATATGAGAGCCTCTAAGATGGCCTTGTGGGTTTATTTTGATGATTAGGAGGGCTTTCATGTCATGCAGGACACAGGTGCAGAGCCAAGGTTGGAGAGTTTTTAACCCCCTTATGGCAATCTAGTCCAAGTGAGCTGGTCTTTTATCTTAGGATTTTCCCAGTTGAAGGGGCTTATGGGAGCAACTTGCGAGCAGAGGAGGGCATCTTTTTTGCATTGTTGACAGCATTGAGCTCTTGCCCAAGGTGATTAACAGTGATGTGTGGCTGGATGTCTGTTTGTGTTTTCTGTGACATCTGATAGCTATGGGGGTCAAGGTGAGGTGGCATGGCTGATGTCCAGGCCCAGAGGTGAGTCTTTAGTCTATACCACCGGGAGGAGAATTTTCAGAATCTTGGGATTGTGGTTATCTGTCTCAGGCTGATGCAGGCATCATTTTCCTCTCAGAGAACAGCCAGAGTTGAATGTGCAGTGTTAAACAAGATGAGGCTGGTTGGTTTGGTGTGAAGGAGATGTCTTTCCAGGCTATAAGCTTATGCCTGGAAGAAGGGGCTAAAGGCAAGAGTTCTAGTTGCTCTGGTGATGGTAACTTTTTACAGAGGAAACTTTTGAAGACAGAGAGCTCTTTTCCATTGTCTACCAGGAAAATCATAGGTTTGCTCCTAATTTTTGCAATCACTGCAGGCTCTCTGGGGTCCAATTTGATAGATTTCAGTCTGTCCTACCTGTTTAGCCCTGACAGGGTGAAACTCATTTGTCAGGGCTGACAGACCAATTTTTCCTCTGTCAAAATGTGGAACTCAGAAAGAATTGTGGACAGTCATCTCAGGTGGGCATTAGATGATGTCATCTTACCAGGATAGGCAAGTATACAGGAGGCTCTAGAGGTAGGCCCTCAGTAGCCAAATGTAGGCAATGACTGGCTGCAACCAGTTCAACTGGCTAGAAGTAGACGAGTCACCAGTGGGGAGTGAAGCTATGGGTGTTGACAGCAACTGCAGCATTAGCTGAGGGTACCAAGGTGTAATTCTCAGGAAGAATAGGCTTCTTATTCTGTCTGTCTGTCTGTGTGTCTGTCTGTGTGTCTGTCTGTCTGTCGTCTGTCTTTCGATGCAGGGAATGTCTTGGTTTCATTTTTATCTCTGTACAATCCCCTTTTCCTTCATTCGGGGATTCTGGGTTTTAGCTAATTCGTTTCCATTTTACCTCCATACAGTATGTGTTGTGTATACTCAGATAATGATGCAACAGAAAGGGCGGGTGTCCCTCAGAGGGAGACTAGATGTCTGCTTGGCCGTAGCCCTTTTGGAGACTTAGGCAGGACTTAGCTAAGGATGGTGTGAGGCCTCCCTGACGCCATGTGTCAGTCACCGTGGAAGAGCAGGTCAGGGCACAGTCAACCGCCGTGACCAGTGCTTCCCAGTCTTGATGCACAGGTGGAGTAGCCTATGGCTTAAACGGTTGGTGCCAGTCACTCATGTAGTCCTTCGGCAGGCGCTAGAGGCTAAACAGTCCATCCTCTCGCCTTGAGGGTGGCCTTAGCAAGGGTTGGTTAAGCTCTTCTGCTCAAACTGAGCAGGACTGACAGACTAACTAACTGCTCCCAGAGGTCTTATGAGAATCAGATGGGGAGGCAGACAGACAGGCAGATGAACAGACAGACAGACAGAGTGCATCCTCCTCCCTGGGGTCTGATATGAGCCATTCCAGCAGAAAGCCAGGAATCTTCCTCCAGACCTCTGAGGGGATGTCTTCCCATGGGGTCCTGGAGAGGCCCTTGCTCCATCCTAAATGACAATGAGTGGTGACCAAAGAGGTTAGTTCTGCCAGCCAAATAGCACAGCATAGTGGATTAAAGCACCTGCTTAGGCACAGCGCAGTGGGCAGGGTTCATCCCTGCTGGCCCTGCCCCCGCCTCTGCCCCCGGGGTTGTGCTGAGACTGCAATTAAAACCGAGTCCTATCTACATAGTGAGACCCTTTAGTCCCTGTCCTGAAACACACACACACACACACACACACACACACACACACACACACACACACAAAAGCCTACTTCCTGTGGGATGGCCAAATAGCTCAATGGATTAAAGTGCCTGCAAGCAAGCACAGGGCCCAAGGGTTCCATCCTTGGGCCTGCTGTGCCAGCTCCACCTCTGGGGCGCCCTGAGATGATCATGGAGACTGGGCGTGATGGTGCACGCCTGTAATCCCAGCTCTTGGGAGGCTGTAAACAGGAGAATCACTACGAGTCCAATCTAGTAGTGAGACGCTGAATACCCTGTAGACCCTTCCCCACTCACCCGGAAAAAAAAAAAAAAAAAAAGTAGAAAGAGGTTAGCTCAGTAGGTCTCCCAAGCTGATGTACCAGATGCAACAGCAGCAGAAACACCAAAGCGACACCCAGGATTTAGAGGCAGATTTATTTACATCAACATGCTCTGATTGGGGTCACTCCCAAAAATATCAGGCTCTGATCTCTGATGGTCTAGGGCTTATATTGGATAAGCAAGCAGGAAGTACAGAGACAGAATGGCTTGCTAATTGGTGACTGGTTTACACATGTTCATCACAGAGACCAGCTATGCATCACAGTGACTAGCAAAAGGGACAGAACTGGAACAGGAACTTCTACCTGGGAAACTGAAAATAAGTATACCGGTTGAGGGGAGTGTTTTATGCATAATCTTTCATGATGTCACATTCGATGACTGGACCATATTCCTCAGATTTGGCCCGAAGCTCTTGGTTGGTACAGGTGGGACTAATGTCACCCACATGTAACTCGGTTGAAGCTCTGCTCTTGTTCTTGCTGGCTTCCACACTGATGGTCACCCCGTGCAAATTACAGTGATGCAGGCTCCGGATGGCATCCTCCACCGCTGTCTTATCCTCTATGTGCACAAAGCCGTAGTTCTTAATGATGTCACATTCCAGCACCTTCCCGTACTGCTCAAGGAGTGAGCGGCTCTGTGGTCTCCCGGGGAGGGTTTCCATCTCGACCTGGCCACACAGGAATCTGCAGGGCCTCTTCCTCGTGGTGCTGACACTTCCAACAAAATGCTAAAATGGTTGATGTGGTTTTTTAATTTGTATCATTCTATTGGATTGAAAACTCCATGAAATCACAGACATTGTCCCTATTTGTCTTTGTATAAATTATGCATGTATGGAAATGCCTAGCAGCTCTAAATATATTATTATTAGAAGTAAGTAAATAAATAGACTACAGTTTTAATAATATTGTTCAGAATAACCCTTTAATATAGTTTACAATTTTCTTTACAATGCATTAGGTTTATCATAGAGATTTTAGAAAATATAGATGAAGAGAATAAAATTACTTGTCACCCCAATACCAGGGTAACTCACAGCAGTCATTTTGATATATGTCCTACCAAGCCATTTTCTAGATGTGTGATTATAGATTTTTAAAAAGAAAGAGAAATGATATTATAAGTCACATGCTATCTTACATCTAGCTTTAAAAACATTATATTGTGACTATTTTTCCCACATCACATATAGTTCTACTGTAATGTTTCTTAGTGATTATAGAATGTACCATAATTTATATGCCCATGTTTTATTTTTGGACATTTATGTTTCCTAGTATTTTTGTGCTGAGAAACTGTGATGAAACATCCCTGTGTGCAGCCCGGATGATTTGCTTAGGACAGAGTTCTGGTTATAGAATGGCAGGCAGGAGAGCATGCATTTTTAAGGTCATTGGATTATCATAAAAAGTTGTAACAATTTATATTCTTACCAATGGTGTATGACAATTCCAATTTTTGTGAGTTCTTGCTATGAATAGATGTTATTATATACGTGTCAACATTTGTCAGTTTAAAAACCCAAAACCACATAAAAATGAAGATAAAATACTGTGTTCCTGAAGTCACCCATGAAGGCCAGTGTTGCTGAAGCCTGAGTCTGTGCGGCGGGAAGGGGAAGAGTTCTTGTACAATGTGCTGAAAGGGCAGCTGCTTACATGGACGCGTTCCCAACCAAGATGGACACGCTAGCATCGGGAGGCTTTAGAAAGCCACTCATAGGCTGAAACCCACAGTGCACTGGGGTTCATGCTGGTGACGTTTCAGAGACTGAGAGAGGGGAAGATGACTTATTGTTCAAAACCAGTTAGAGCTGGCTTAGAGCTTTAGCTGCACCATATTCCATGGGCCCTTCACTAAGACCCTAGGACTCTTGGTCTCAGGTTCCTCATCCAGTAGGGGTGGGGGTGGGGTGATAGTTTTGTTAAAATAATATTGAAGCTTCCTTCCAGCTCAGGAATTTTCTTCTTTTAAATGAAATCAAACGTAAGTATCTACTGCACAATCACGGTTATGGCTTATAGTTAGATTTATGCTTTGGGATTATTACTTCTGACAACAAATCATCCCTCAGAAGTCCACTAATAAGTTGAAATAATGACTGTGTTTTGAAATGCTGAGCTATGGTGCCACTTCAGTTTACTTAGATGAACAGTGGTGATACAATCAGCAGCAAATATTTCCTTCTTACACAAGGCATCTGTCATGTCCAACTCCTAATGGCAATCCATAAATGTGAAAGGCTGCTCCCCCAAGCATTCACATTTCTCTGTAGGTCTTGCCACTAATGAGAGCTTCAGTTGGGTTGGAAGAGACTGAAAATCTGAGGAAACTATGGACCTGGAACCCCAGCCAATGCGAAGCGAGAACTGCTTAATTGGAAGTGACATTTTCTGTGTTTGGCTTTTCCAGCACTGCAAGCTGGGATGTTTGCCACTAGAAAGTCAAAATGCCTGCAAAAACAAATGCCCAGTTTTCAAATATCTGGTCTGTATAATTTATTTTTAATACTAAATGTGACATAGTGTAATGTTCTATCGATTAAATTAAACTGTATGGGTGAGGGAGATAGAATTTCAATCGAATTCTTAGATGAAAAATGAGCTGCATGTCACAGAGCTTTCCTGGCAATCATCTAACATCCTGATAGATATTGGCTGGCTTCACTTACACAGCTGGATCCTTGTGGCCAGTGAGCTGCGTCTGAACAAAGGGCACCACACTCCAGAGGAAAAGCACGGGGGCCTGTAAGGAAGAGGAAAAGACTTGAAAGGCTTTCTCTGTCAGTCAGGAATCTTACAGATTGATTTTTTTTTTTTCTTCTTGTGATTGACATGTTCTTGGAGACTGCATGCTTTTTTGGTGAAGTCATTATGACACGCAGCACAGCTGTAACATAGGTTCCAGAGCAGCACTCTATATTCAGTTCTATCATTGTTCTCATTGCCCATGAAACAAGGAAGCCTATTCATGATGTTCTTTAGAGACATTCATGTGTTTGGTGACTGCCGTGATCCAAATCTGATGTGCTAGGAAGGCCACGGCAAAATCCAAGGTCTTGAGGTGACTTTCCTGGTGGGAAAGCAGCAGGTGGAAGAGCAACGATGCTTCTTGCATTATCATGAATTATTTTATCCATTACCACCACAGTATGCAGTGAGAAGGCCTTCTTTACAAAAGACACATTTCTGCATGGCTGAAGGTAGGGTAAGAATCTCCTTAGCAATTCTTTGTCTAGGATTTCTTACTTCCTCCTTAGAAACTTAGGCCCACATGAACTATTTTCTTTTGGAACTCGATGATCCCTTAGAGGTGGAGATGTGGAGAGATGTGTGGTAGGATGAAACCACCCGGGGCCCAGCTGATGTGTTCATTTGGAATAGAAAGTTGGAACTGATGAGGTAACTTTCTTGGTAGTAATGCAGAAGAGGCATGGTCCCCTAGAGAGTGATCAAGGCCTGAGACCTAACCTTTAGGGACAGATGGTGGGGGCAAAATGTAGCCTGGAAAATCCAAACCAAGACCACTTGGGGAAGGAGCACCATGGGCCAGCACGGGCCAGCAAGGTGGAAAAAGCCCAGCGCAGATGAAGGAGGAGAATTAAGTGCAAGGATGACAAGAAGAAGTGCGAGCTGCCCTGGGAGGGCCGTAAGAAGGGAGCATGGAGCAGTGTGCAAAGTGCAGATGCCCAGAGACACTCTTCTGTGGGGAGCAAACCACAGAAGACTGACAGTGGTGACAGGACAACTGCAGCAGGTAGAAGCTGCTCTGGAAACTGAGCTAAAGAAATCCCAAAGCAAGCCATGCTAAACTTGGACTCCAGAATAAAGATGATGCAGAGAGAACCACAGACTAGATTATGGCATAGCTGCGTAAAGGATCATTGTGACACCATTGAAAAATACACAAGCTTCCATTTATTTTCATATGAATGACGGAGATAGCTTAGTTGAAAACAGTGTTTCAGATAGTATACTATGATCAATTCTTGAAAAGAAATGCGCTGTGAAAATGTGTAGTATGATGTATATGTGTCTATATGCATTTATGTCTACATTTTTCTATGTGTATGTACATGTATACGATGTGTAGCGTGTTTTAAGACATTTTGACAAATACACAAGTGTTGAAGCCCTTTAGCAAATAGGCTGAGGCTGGGGCTGGGGAAAGGATAGACCAGCATAAAATGGATCTTTTATCTCCTTGTCTATTGTTTGTATTTTTTTTAATCTTAAGCGTGTGTTATTTTATTAATGACAAAAATGAAAGCGATGATGATGGTGACAACATAAGTTACAAAGACAGAGAAGTAGCGTGCATGCTGACTCCTCATTTCTAGCCTAATCAAAGGAAGCTAGAATGAAGTATTTGCTTAGTGGAAAGCAATTCATCCATCTGGGTGGCACTCTCCGAAGTGCATGAGAGAGGGACTAAATTGAGGACTAAGACTTCCAGGGTATGGTATACAGTGCTTTTCTCCTTCAGAAAGAAAATCCTTTTCTTTCTAGAGTCCTGAGTAACCACCTGAGACCTTGCAGCAGTGGTGTTGGGGGTGGGGAGATGGCTCATGACAACTTGGGGTGTCTCTTGTCCTACAGATTCTGGTCACACTGCAGGGTGGGTGTCTGGTCTGGCCTTATGTGGGAAATTTTGGCCAACTCAGCAGACCACCAAAATGGGATTCGAATGCAGCCAAAGGCTTTGCTACCCTATTATCCTTCTGATTCAGGAATGTCTCATTCAATACATCAAAGTGCTGCGTCTCTCCTTCAAGTGTGGGAGAGCATGAACTACTTACTATCTTCCAAGGCCGAGGGAGGGAAGTACTTCCCCTGCACTATCCTGAATGTCTTCCCCTAGTGATTATGAGGGAGGAGGCTGGCTGCGGGTGGGGGTGGTAACAATCTTTAGCTACTGGCTGGGCTAGCGGCCTAAAACTCTTTTTTTTTTTTTTTCTTTTTTCTCCCTTGCACCATATGGATACAGGAAAATACAAAGGATGTGTTCTCTGCCCTTGAGAAATTTATAATCTAGTTGGGGGGCAGCCAAATTGCTGTTGGGTAGCCTCAGATAAGCTGCAACCAGAGCTGGTGAGATGCTGCTAGTGTTACCCGGTAGGCCTCACCTGCTTTCTTTTCTGGAGTAGGGACTGGCTTCATCCTGGGGCGGCAGGTCAGCAGGCTATGGGTGGAGGGGGAGTTTCTCTCATTGGTTTGGGCTGTAGTCATAAGACTTTCTCAAATTTAGAGTTTCTGATGAACAGTCACTGCCTTGATTTCACAAGCCATATTATTAATCATTAATAAATGCTTGCCAGACACAAATTCCACTTGCCAGAAAAAAATTCAGAGTTCTCAACATAAAAACAAATAAACACACACCTGAGAACTTAGACAACTGATCCATTTCATGTTCTCAGAATTTTCAGAATTAAGATGACTTTAGAGATCACTAGATTAAGTCCTGGTTTTGTTCTTCGTATGGTGCTGGGGATTGAACTCAGAGCTTTGTACATGGTAGGTGAGTGCTCTATGAACAGAGCTACTCTCCCAGCCCTAAGACCCGTCATTTTATTTTATTTTATTTTTTATTTTTTATTTTTTCAAAATTTTATTGATAAACAGATAGCAATGAGACAGTTTCAAATCAAATCAGAAGTAC